TATGAAGAACAGGAAAAGGAATGAAGGGCAAAAGAGGATGCCAGGGTCGATATAAAAGAAGAAATTAAAAAGTCTATGAAAGCTACAATGCATTCCCGACATCGCTGGACTCAGTTACGAGGACTTGTGCATCCACCCAGATTTGGAACTTCTAGAAGGGTTTAAGATTCCAAAGTTTGACACCTTCGGAGGAGTGGTAAACCCAATGGCTTATTTAAGAGCCTATTGTGACCAACGCGTGGGAGTTGGCAGGGATGAGGCTTATTTGATGCGGCTTTTCAACCGAAGCCTGTGTGGGGAGGCCCTCGAATGGTTTACCTCACAGTAAACCAGGCAATGTTCCAGTTGGAATGCATTAGCCAAAGATTTCATCGATCGATTTGCCTACAACATTGAAATAGTTCCTGATCGATATTCTCTGAAGAAAATGAAACAAAAGTCAACTGAGATCTATAGGGAGTTCTCCTATAGGTGGAGGAAAGAAGCGGTAAGGGTAAGGCCACCCATGACCGAGATAGAAATAGTGGAAGTGTTCGTACACGTGTAGGAGCCGGAGTACTAAGATAGAATCATGTTGCTCGTTGGAGCAAAGTTCGCCAAGATAGTCAAGATTGGTGATACTATTGAAGACAGTTTGAAATCAAGGAAGATAGCCCGTGTAGCCACATCACCTGGATATTCAAGGTTGTTGAAGAAGAAAAGAGAAGAAGTTGCTGCTGTTTCATATGGTAGAAGGAAAACCCCCAGAAGCTTGTCGTATTCCCAAGGTCATTCCAGGCCTTCCCCAAAGTCCTACCAAGCTTACTACACGCAATCCAGTCATCCCAATAACCATAATATTACACCCACTTATTCAAACGCCCAAGCTCCATTGTACCAAAGTCCACCCCTCAATTACCAAAGTCCATCTCCCATTTATCCAAATTACCCTCCACCTTATCAAATCCCATCTCCCTACCAGGGTATTGCTCCCAACTGTGCTAATGTACAGTCGAGCTATCGATCACCCCCTCCTATTTATCAAGTCCAAGCTCCACTATATCAAAATCCCCTTCCGAATTACCAAGCTTCATCACCAAATTACTAAACAAACCCATATCCTAGAAGCCAAGCTCTCCGCCCAAATACCAGAAAGTATCAACAGATGTCTCCTCCTCAACAAGGCAGTTATGATCCTCCCCGACCGAGGTTTGAGAAGAGTCCTTCAAGGAACTTTAGTGCACTTGCTGAAAGTCGGACCAAACTGTATGAGAGACTGTCTACGGCTGGATACATCCACCCTGTGGGGCCCAAGCCTGTAGATGTCAATTCAAAGTTCTACAAACCTGATAAGAGATGTGCTTATCATTCCAACAGTGTTGGACATGATACTGAAGATTGTATCAACCTCAAGAACAAAATTCAGGATTTAATTAATCAGGAGGTAGTCTCTCTCCAACCGGAAGCAACAAATGTTAACACAAACCCGTTGCCGAATCATAGAGGTGGTAATGTCAATATGATCGAGACAGATGAAGACTGGTGAGGTACGAAGATGATTACTCCCATCGTTCACGATGATTTGGAAAGGATTGTCGCTTCTTTAAGCGTCAAAGAAAAGAGAGAGTTTTTTATTTTGACACCTACAAAGACTGTTGCCTTGGTGCCGTCAGAAAATCTCGTCAAGCGTAAGTTTGTCATTGAATCTATTACCGCTCAAGGTATGACCAGGTCTGGAAGGTGTTACACACCCGACGAGCTTGTTCTCGGAAGACAGAAGAAGGACTAGGCTAAGAGGCCGATAAGCGAAGGAGAAGCGGAAGAATTTTGCAGAAAGATGCAACCAAAGGATTATTCCATCATCAAACATTTAGAGAAGACTCCGGCTCAGATATCCATATGGGCCCTATTGATGAGCTCTAAATCCTACAGGCAGGCCTTAATGAATGCTCTCAATGATACATACGTACCCTCAGGTACAAGTAGTGATAACGTGGCTGCCATGATTCATTAGGTTATTCGAGGGCACCGAATCAACTTTTATGACTATGAGCTGATAGTCGAAGAAAGATCACATAACAAAGCGCTACACATCACCATGATATGCCGTAAAAAGGCTGGTCTGAATATCTGCCTGTTGTCTACATTGAGGCAGCTAAGGTTTGACCTTGGGAAACTGGAGTAAGAACAGGTCAACGTGAGAGCCTTTGATGGGGTTCAAATAGACACGTTGGGGGCAGTGAATTTGACCATTCAAATAGGCCCCGTAGAGTTCAACGCGCAATTTCAAGTATTGGATATAGATAGCAGTTACAACCTTCTTCTGGGAAGGCCGTTCATCCATATGGTTGGAGCCGTCTCCATCAAATGATGAAGCCTGTGTCGAAGAATGAAGAGTTGGTTATTCATGGCGAGGGGAGTCACCTTGGCACGCAAGTGCAGATTATTGATGAGATTTCGCGAGGTACAAACTTTTATACGGTAGAGCTGGTGTATGCCACCGGTGATGACTTGGACCCACAGACCCCCATAACCGTCGTATATAATATGATAGCCAGTGTGATGCTGCAGAACTATTTTGAGCTAGGGTTTGGATTGGGAAGAGATTCCCGAGGAATTATTGAGCCTGTTTCGGTCCTCGTTAAGGGATCCAGATATGGTTTTGGGGTACATCCCCACAGATGACGACATAAAGGTCAAGAAGAAAAATAATCAAGTTTTGACTAAGCCGATACCGCATCTGTATCAATCCTTTCCGATCCGAGAGTATGCCGAACATTAAGACTTTCGGGAAGGAATCTGTGACCTCTTAAAGGACATTGATGTTGTTGTCGAGGAGGAGGTCGAGCTAGCTGGTATTCGCGATGCTAGACCAGGGGAGGTGCTGCGAAACTGGACCTCCACGCCGATCTTGATACCCCGAACTCTTCGGTAGAAAGGCATCATTTCATGCACATTAAAATTGGTGGTAGTCCGTAAAAGGACCGAGACCCACCATTTTGCATTTTTCACAACTGTTCAGACTTTTGAATTTTCATTGTGATGTTCAACAAGGCAACATGGACTATGCCATGGCCAAAGTTTGCATTGTTTTTAAATGAAAGCCTCTTTGTTTTAACTTTATTTATTTAGTTGTTTGTTATACCTTACTTTCCTAATTTTGTCTGTTTATGATTTCAGTAACATAAGTTATAGACCTGCCAATGTCATGTCATGTCACGAGCTAAATAAACAAAATCAGGAAGGTGAGAACGAGGTTGACGATTATGAAGAAGAAAGTGAGGAACTAGACTATGTCGCCGAGGAATTCCGGCAGTTTGAGAATCAGCATAAACCAAATCAAGAGGAAACGGAAACAGTGAATTTGGGAGATTCGGAATGTGTTAAAGAGGTTAAGATCAACAGCCACCTAAATAAAGCACCGAAAGAGGGCCTAGTTCATTTGCTTGTTGAATGTATTGATGTGTTCGTTTGGGAAGTCGGTGACATGGAAGGGTTGAGTACCGATGTAGTATCTCATAAGCTACCAATTAACCCGAGGTTTGATCCGGTGAAACAGAAAGCCCAAAAATTCAATCCTGAACTGAGTTTGAAGATTAAGGAAGAGATCACCAAGCAAATAGAGTCCCGATTGGTGGAAGTGACACAATATCTAACCTGGCTGGCCAACGTTGTTCCTGTCGCCAAGAAAGAGGAGAAAATCAGGATTTGTGTTGACTATAAACATCTCAACAAATCTAGCCCGAATGATAATTTTGTTGCCGAATATTCATATTTTGATTGACAATTGTGCTAAGCATGAGATGCAGTCATTTGTGGACTGTTATGCAGGCTATCACAAAATTCTGATGGATGAAGAAGACGTGGAAAAGACGACTTTCATTACACCTTGGGGTGTATATCACTACAGGATGATGTCGTGCGTCCTCAAGAACGTTGGTGCCACCTACATGTGAGCTATGAGAACCATTTTTTCACGACATGATTCATAAGGAGATTGAAGTGTACCTGGACGACGTCATAGTAAAATCCCGTGAGAGTTCGGAGCACTTGAAACATATAAAGAAATTCTTTGATCGTCTACATTGTAACAACTTGAAGTTGAATCCCGCCAAATACGCTTTTGGAGTTATAGCCAGAAGATTGTTGGGATTTATAATCAGCAGAAGGGGCATTGAGCTAGACCCTTCTAAGATTGAAGTGGTTCAAGAGTTACCTCCGCCAAAGACGAGGAAAGAGGTGATAAGTTTCTTAGGGAGTTTAAACTACATCAGTCGATTCATAGATCAATCAACCGTGGCGTGTGAGCCTATTTTTAAGCTGCTGAAGAAAGATGCCCCGACAATGTGGACTGAAGAGTGTCATACTACTTTTGATGATATTAAGAACTACTTGTCTAACCCACCGGTATTGGTTCCTCCGAGAGAAGAGAGACTTTTGTTGCTGTACTTGTCTGTCTTAGATAGTGCATTTGGATGCTTACTTGGTCAACACGATGAGACAAGAAATAAGGAAAGGCTATCTATTATATAAGCAAGAAGTTTACTCCATATGAGTCTCGATACACTTTGTTGGAGAGAACGTGTTGTGCATTAACGTGGCTAGCCCAGAAGTTGAGACACTATTTGTCTTCGTATACTACATATCTCATTTCCAGAATGGATCCATTAAAGTATATTTTCCAGAAAGCGATACCGACTGAAAAGTTAATTAAATGGCAAATGTTGTTGAGTGAGTTCGATGTCGTGTATGTGACTCAGAAGGCAATAAAGGCACAAGCTTTGACTGATCATCTTGCAGAAAATTCCGTTGATGAAGAGTATGAACCACTTAAGACTTATTTTCTCGATGAAGAAGTGTCCTTTGTGGGTGAAGATATTTCTGAGGCATATCCAGCTTGGAGATTATTCTTTGATGGAGCGGCAAATCATTAGGGTAAAGGTATTGGAGCAGCTTTAGTGTCAGAATCTGGTCAACATTACCCTATGGCGGCTAAGCTCTGATTTAATTGCACGAACAACATGGCCGAATATGAAGCTTGTATTCTTGGATTGAAGATGGCCATCGACATGAAAGTCTACGAGTTGTTGGTTATTGGAGATTTGGACCTTTTAATTTATCAATTTCAAGGAGAATGGGTTGTAAAGAACCCAAAGATTATACCTTACGTACAATATGTACAAAATTTATGCAAAAGGTTTTGTAAGATCGAGTTCAGACATACTCCCAAAATACAGAATGAATTGTCCGATGCTCTTGACACCATCGGTTCGATGATTAAACATCCGAATACAGATTATATTGATCCTCTGGATATAGAGTTGAAAGAACATCCAGTCTATTGTTTCCATGTCGAAGCAGAACCAAACGACTTGCCTTGGTATTTTGATATAAAGAAGTATGCGGAGTTTGGAACTTATCCTGAAGATGCTACGTCCAACCAAAAGAAGTCGATACATTGTATGTCTCTCAATTTTTTTCTAAGTTGAGAAGTTCTTTATAAGAGGACTCCAGATTTAGGTCTTCTAAGATGTATTGATGCCGTTGAAGCTGTGAATCTTAATGAACAGATACATGCTGGAGTTTGTGGTACGCACATGAACGGGCTTACTTTGGCAAGAAAGATCCTACGAGCCGGGTATTTCTGGATGACTATGGAGAATGATTGTTCCAAATTTGTGCAAAAAAAGCCATAAATGTCAAGTGCACGGTCATTTGATTAGAGTACCACCTCACGAGCTTAATGTTATGAGCTCACCTTGGCCATTTGTAGATTTGGGAATGGATGTCATCGGTCCGATATAGCCAATCTCTTCTAATGGACACAGATTCATCTCGGTTGCCATTGATTATTTCACCAAGTGGGTGGAAGTAGCTTCTTACAAGTTGGTAACCAAGAAAGAGGTGGCTTACTTTGTTCGCAACAATTTGATATGTAGATTTGGAGCCGGAATCCATTGTTACTGATAATGGGGAAAATCTCAATAGTCACTTGATGAGAGAGATATGTGAACAATTTAATATTACTCATCGAAATTCAACTTCTTATCGTCCCCAAATAACGGAGCTGTAGAGGCCGCAAATAAGAATATCAAAAAGATTTTGAGGAAAATGATTGACAAACATCGAGGTTGGCATGAGATGTTACCATATGCTTTATTGGGATACCGCACGACTGTTAGAACATCAATTGGAGACACTCCATATTTGCTAGTATACAGAACAAAAGAAGTCATACCTGCTGAAGTCGAGATATTGTCTTTGAGAATCATCCAAGAATCTGAGTTGAGTAACGGTGAATGGGTTAGCAAGCGGATTGACCAACTAACTTTAATTAATGAGAAGTGAATGGTTGCCGTCTGTCATGGTCAAATGTATAAGAATAGAATGGTTCGTGCTTTTCACAAGAGAGTAAGAGCCAGAAATTTTGAGGTTGGTCAGTTGGTCCTTAAGCGTATTTTTCCTTATCAAGATGAGTACAAAGGAAAGTTCGCACTGAACTGGCAAGGGCCTTACGTGGTTACCAAAGTATTATTTGGAGGTGCTTTGGTCCTATAGGAGATGGATGGCACTGTATGGACTAAACCTATCAACTCAGATGCTTTCAAGAGATACTACGTGTGAAGCTTCGGTTTGCATTTCTGTTATTTACTTGTAATCGTTCTGTTTGCTTGTATTTGTCTTACTTAAAATTTTACCCCTCTTGTAATGAACTACGTCTGACCTGAATTCTCAAGAATGAGATACGTAGGCGGCCTTTGTCGGCCTCGGTCATCCCATTTATCCCCTTTAATTATTTCCTTGTATTTGAACTACGTTCGACCTGAATTCTCAAGAACGAGTTACGTAGGCGGCCTATGTCGGCCTCGATCGGTTTTCTTTTTAAATGTTTTTTATTTTGTTAACCTTTAAGGGGGGACTATGTTTGACTTGATTCCTGCCTCAACGGGATACGTAGGTGCCACAAGGGTTCAGTCATATCTCCCATAATACTTCTACTCCTCTTTAAAATAGAAACTGGGACAGAATTTTTGAGAAGGACTCAAAAAATCTCGAGAAGAAGATTTTTCCTCAGCAAGTCAATATAGAAGATATTTCGAGATTTTCAACTTGGACAGAATTTTTTAGAAGATCTCAAAATTCCGCGATCTGCTTAGTTACAGTGGAAAGATAAGCAAAAAAGTTAACTAGTACAGATTTTTTGAGAATGACCTCAAAATTTCAGCAAAGATTTATCTATAACTCCGTAGTGACTCTAAAAATCCCCAACGAATGATTAGATGGACCTCCAAGCGTCAGACTCAAAGGAGTTTATTAAGCCTGATATGACATGATTTGGCAATGACCTTTTTCAGATACTATTTCTCAAAATTTACTTTTCTTTCTCTTAAATTTTCACTTTACATTACATCTGTTTTGGCATAAATTGTTTTGTCTTATCTATCAAGAGTTGGGAGATCGGGAAATCAACTGAAAATAGAGGTACAAGAAGTAGACAACTGAAGAAATCGACAAAGATTAGTTCGTCTTTAAAACTAACAATTTTTTTGTCGACACAGGTTAATAGCTTTGCTCTGAAATCAGCAAAATCTTCCGCTGGATGAATATGGAGAAGTTAAAGGAGGAGAAAACTAACCCAAAATCAATAGTATGCTAGAAGCAGGAAGCATCTTATATCGCTTATGTCGGAGACTTGGGAATATGAATTGTTTATTTCAATCGATTTCCAACAACATGAAATTTATAAGGAACGTCCAGCTAGATTCGAAAGAGAATCAAGCGAAATACTCAAGGAAGAGTTTACGGTTATCCATAAAGGACGTCATTTGCATCATAATGTTGGACATGATACTACGTATTACCTAGAGGGTTCAGTTATTGTATCATCGATCAAGACGATATACTATCTGGAGGTCGTCTTACCATTATCATCATAGAAGGCGATATGAATATTAATGCATCGTGAGTCAATATCCATGCATCACGAGTCAAAAATCCATGCATTTCGGAAAATCATGCATTACGAAAGGTCATGCATCGCGAGTTAATATCCAGGCATCGCGAAAAATCATGCATCACGGAAGATCATGCATCGCGAGTCAAAAATCCATGCATCCTGGAAAATCATGTATCGCGGAAGATCATGCATCGCAAGTTAATATCCAAGCATCGCAGGAAGATATTCCTACCCCGCAAGAAATTATGCATCACGAGAAGATTCCATGCCTCGCTGAAATTTACGCATCACGAGAAGATTCCATGCCTCGTCAAAATTTATACATCGCGACAAAATTTTATACCTCACAGAAATTTTGACATCGAGAGAAGATTTCATACCTCACAGAAGTTTGTGCATCGATTTCATACCTCGCGAAAGTTACGCATTGCAAGAAGATATTCATGCCCCGCAAGAAGGCACACACAACTAAAAAAGGAAATCGTGCATCCAATGAGAAATATTTATCCGTTGGCATCAACTGCCTTCCTCTATTCTAGTTAAAGCCACCAAAAGAAATATCGGAATCGCATCAACATTTATTTATTTCGACATTAAGTGAAAAGTACATCGGAGATTACATTGCAAACACCATACATAAGCTTTATTTGCTTTGTGTCAGGCAGATTGAGTTGACGTCAAATGTCGAGGAGAACAATTGAGTGTCGACATGGTAAAAGGCACTGTCTCCCATCCTAATTGCATTTTTAAGCCAATGAGTTTTTATCTCAGTCTTTGTCGAGAGCATCCGAAAGGATGAATTCTCCAAAACCACAGGTGCGGACAACGTCAAAATGAACGCAACACAACGTGGAACTTTCTCTTAGTAACAAACTGGGACACAGTCCAAGGAGGAATGTCAAACTCTTAGAACACGAGCAGAGGAGCGGCTTCCACCACAATCAAACCACACCCCTGTTAGAAGGCATGTGGGTTCTTCTTTAGTTTTTTCTTTTTCAGTCTCGCATCCGGAAATTTTGATTTACCGGAAGAAAGTCTTCAATCTAAGTGAGAGTGCACCACAGTCATGAATATGTGGTCGGTCAAAATTGGCTTGGTCAATTTCATTTTCCTCGAATTCCTTGCATCAATCCAAGTAAAATAAGGGACAGTTGTTGACACCCAATTTTGACTCTCCACAATATAAATTAATCACCAATCTTCTTAATCACAACATTAGAATAATTAGTTCCTTAAAATTAAAAATAGTTTGTTAAGTTTATCTTAAATAGTTTAGTCACTTTTTATAAAAAAAAATTTATAATGTATATATCTTAAATGATTATATATAATTAGTATATTTTACGAATATTCAAAAATCATCTAAATATTGGTATTTGTTTATTAAAGTTACACTTTATATTTGCGAATTAATTAGTTTGATTATGCTTTATTAAGATTAAGAGGCTCGTTAATTAATAAATATTCATATTATTTTAGTTTTAGTCGAATTTGCAAGTTAAATTCGATTTAGCTAAATTAATATTTCATTTAGCTTGTCTTAAAACCAAATTTGAGCCTTTATTTTCTTTCCTCCAGCCCATTCATTATTAACCAGCCCACATACAATACCCATTACATCCAGCAACCCAAGCAATATGTGTTTGGAATTACCAAAATCAACCCAACGACCCTGTACACGATCGTCTTCTTCACGCGTAAAGCGAGGCAAACCCATAATTTCAGACGTAATTTAAGCATGTCATGGTAACGACCTGACGAGTCCTCTTCTTCTTCTCCCTTATCCTCTCATTTAAGATCGTTTGTTGATATGCCAGATGGAGCAATCTCTATGCTTGTTCGTCCTTGCCTCATCTAGAATCAATTTCTATCCTCTTCATTCCATTGAGAGATTGTACAAATTTGTACCCAATTTAGCTGGCAACCTTATCCTCCAAGGATTTTGAATTTCGAATTCAAATTCACTCCGTTTTCCCCCTTTTTAGCTCAGCCCTATTCCCTTATATAAGAGCTATCATCTACTCTGTAGGAGGAGATTTTTGGAGAGAAAAATCTGTTAATAAGGAAATTTTTACAGCAGCTTAAGAGGGAAAATATATAAGCGCACACACACACACACACACACACACACATATATATACCCATCAAAGTCGTGTTCGAAGCAGAGATATTGCCCAATTCTTGGTTGTCGTTCGAATTCAAGTCGTGTGGTGAAGACACGTCCCCTGCTCGCATCGTCTCTAGCTCGCTGCCCCGGAGAAGGTGAACTTCCTTAATCTCAACTCACTCGTTATTTTATTTTGTTATGTTTCAGCGAGCATGAAGTTCTCTGTTGGTTTGTTCCTCCTCTCGCTCGCTCGTTTTCTATCCTCCGTGATTTATCTTTTATAGTGATGAGAGTTTCGTCTGGTTTCAAGTAGTTTGTTTCGTGTTTAAGGTCGATATATGTTGTTGATGTGGGCTGCTCGTCTTCAAACACCTATGAAGATTGAGGATAGAATAAGAGGTCTGTCGGTCTTGTTCATAGGATTTGGATATGACTTGTTACTGTTGAATTGATTTTTTTGAAACCTTTCACGCATGTTCTCGTTTATTTTACAGTGGTGGACTCGGGAATATAGCTCAAGAATGCATATGAAGCTGTATATTTTCTTTGGAATGTTTTTTTAAATTGTTGCTCTTCTCAATTCATTTTTCGAATCTTCATA